GAGAGTGAAAACCTGGAAACCGATCATAGTAAATCATTAAATCGGTTTCCAGGTTTTCACTCTCACGCACTCATATATTGATATTAAAATTCCGGTGCAAATCATCTAAAAACATTCAAAACTGTAACGCCAAAATTAAAGCGCAACTTTATAGGTTTAAAAGTAACGCTCTTTTTTTTTTTTGAGACATTTCATTAGTCTTTGAGGAGATACAAATTAAAAAAAAAATACCAGGAACTTTTTAAGTTTCAAAGGCTAATCGGTAAAGCGCTATTTGATTGGCACAGATTTGATACGACTAGATGATTTGCACCATAATTAGTACTGTAATACACATTCATCATTATTTTTTAATTAACACAAATTTTATAGATCTTTTGAAATTTCTTAAGAAAAGTAGTGGGCGTTTTGGCTCATGGTTAAAACACCACCGAAAAAGGGAGAGATCATCTATACTGATGGAAATCGCGATAAGAGAAGAAAATTTTCAACAAATAATTAAAGAAATATATATTAATACATTAAAAAAATGTCGCGATAAAGGTCAAGTGAAAGCTAACAAATTACTTAATCGAACAATTGTATGTATCGCTCTAAATTTAACTATTTTAAAATTAGTACTTAAGTTACATTAATACACCTCACATCTCACTTTGTAGGATCCTTGGAAAGAGTCTGGTGCCAAAAATTTTTAGTTTACCTAAAAGAAAATTATGGAAGTAATGTTCCGACTGCTACAGCTAGTACTTCAGCATCTGCAATGAGTAACATCCCTACAACATTAGTACATGATACCAGTACTCTCACGGAAACTATAACTCAAGATGTTCTTGATGTTTCTACAATTAGTCCTATATCTGGTGATATTCCACATTATACTAGTACTCATAACATTGCAGGTGGAAATGAAACTTTAATTGATGATCTTAATCTTCCTACAGCTAGCAATTCTATATTGAGCAACCCTATAACAAGCGCATTATCAAATAACGTTTCTGCAAACTTGATGCACAACACTAATACTTCTACGACAGCTCCAAGGAAAACGCTAAGTGAAGATGTGTCTAATATTTGTGCTGGACTATCAACCATCAGAACATCTTCTACCAGAGAAATTTTTTTAGATGATGAGGTCTTTGATCCTACGTGGATCCAATCTGTGGGATATGAACTGCGAGAAGAAGCCCAAAACCAAAAAATCGTATCCCAAACTCAAAGAATCATCGGATTAGAAAATCATGTTAAATCGCTCATCAATCAACGTGATCATGCCTTGAAGCAAAGATCAGAACTAGAAAGAAACATGAATTCATTATCACAGAAATATAATGAAACTTTAACCGAAAATTCCGATTTAAAAGAAACGGTGGGGCGCATGCATTATGAAAATGAGGTGCTTCAGGCAAAAAATGAGGTGCTTCAGGCAGAAAAATGGCTCTTGGATTATGATGTCGGCATTCTGAAAAAAAAATTAGGAAATGAGCAATGATATGGTCTTAAATTTCATTGCATTAATTTTTAATAGCATAGTATCGAATGTCAATAGTCTAGTCTTCTTTTAAATGTTAACAAAGCAAATTGTAACAGGAATTTATTATATTCTAAAAAAAAAAATCCGGTACATGAAGCTTCCGCGAATCATTTTACAGCAAACCAAAACTTTATTAAAGGAACATTTATTATTCAGCCTATCTGAAAAGAAGTATAAGTTTTATTAGTATTGTTTACTTGTAAATATAAAATATAAATTTTAATATAAAATACACTTATACAAATACAATTTGCAATTAATATATTTTAAGTTCATATAGGCTTAAAATTTAGAGAATTATCTACATAACTTTTATACTAAAAAATTCATATTTACTAATTTTTTACATCAAATTATTATTAACTTTTATACTAAAAAATTCATATTTATTAATTTTTTACATTAAATTATTCTTATTTTTTTTATCTAGTGAACTAATTCAAATTGATGTTTTTTATTTTTTGTTATTAATTTTTCTTCGTTGATGGAGTTCCTTTTATATTGACCTTTCTTTAAAAAATTTGTGATGAAAATGAACGATCAGAACTTGGTGAAGGAATTCCAGGATGCTATGTAAATTTGGCCAAGAGATGTATGGATTCAGATCAAATAAATGACTAACGGCTACATCCTCAGCTAAAGAATCGTCGGTTGGCTTGATAAAATGGAACAAAATAATGATAACGAGATCAAAGTGCAGTTTAATATATGCTCATGTTGATATAAAATGTTATATATTGTATCAAGTTCTCCTTACTCATTTCTCTTTCAATGCGAAAATTCAACATTTTGGAATAACCATGGGTGTCACTGCAATACATTTGCATGAATAAAATCGGGACAGGATATATTCTTTGATCAATACTTGCGATTGATCAAGGAATCAAATCTTTGTTTGCCGAAATATCTTAATTTCTGTTATCGTAAATTCTATTTGTGATAAAAATTTGATTTTAAATTTATTCAAGATTAAAAGTTTTGAATCCAAATTTTTCATTGTTTGATTTTTTATTAAAGGAATTTTGATACATAATGTTGTCGCCACACCAGAGATACATTTTCAAAATATGCTCTACTAGGAGTAAATGAGTCAGGTTAGTTGATGATGGCTTAGAGGTAATAAACCGACCATGGTACTTGAAGCTGATCAATCAAATCACAAAAAACTGCGGTCAAATTAAATTATCTGTTATTACTATTTGTTTATTTTTATAATCTAACCATAGAGATAGTAAAATATTGCCCCTTTTAACTATTCTAGCTACACATAACGTAATAAAAACTATTATGGATTTACTGAAGCATTTCGGCATTATTAAATTGCCGCTGTTGCGCAATTTTGTGGTTATTTCATTTTCCATAATAAATCTAAATCTGTGATTACATTTACCGTAAATGGAAGGTTTGAGACCCCAAATGAGGGATTAAAACCCTCAGCGAGGATTAAAACTCTCCAGCGAGGGATTAATACCCCAGTAAAGGTTTGAAACCCTTAGAAAGTAAAATGTATTAATTAATGCTCAAACTGCTAAAGAGAAGATATATCATCCTGCTTGTATATTAGATAAAGCAATAAAGCACTTTCCCAACTAAACTATTCTTAATAACTGACTAACATTAAATTTAAATCCCTAATAAACATTTACTCCGTGTACCTTGTGCTGTGCCGAATCTAATCTGCACATGTATGTATTGCTCTCCTAATTTCGGGCATAACACCAAATAAACATTACGCAGATCAATTATAAATATTTTGCCGTTACCGTTACCCATAACATTTTCGAATCAATTTACGTGTTCCTGACTTCGATCTCTGTGAACTCGACGTCATCTTGAAAAAAAAGTAATATGTAGTCGTGTATAAAATTCTGAATACTAATAAATAACAATGGCAAAAACAGATTAAGCTCAAGGACTGTACGAAAAAGTATAAGATTCAAAATAAATTTTTACAATCCTCGAATTCACGTGTTAATATAGAGCTACTTTCTCACTTTCTTTTCGACTTTTTAACCTCTCGTTACGCAAAATCTTCGCCGTTTGCCGACAGAATTGCAAATCAATTTTATTAGTTAGGCCAACTAATAAGGATTATTAATCATTAATTAATCTAGAAAGTTGTACTTTGCTAATTCCGGAAACTGACTGATTTTAATGAATGAATAAGTAGCATCTAATTTTCATGAGAATATTTTATATTTGTAATACGCACAACCATTAGCTTAAAAATTTTCTATATAATGACAAGGATAAAGGCGATGATGTTGATTTAATTTTCTAGCATCATCTCTGATATAACTCTATCAAAATGTCCGTCCTCCGTGAACTTGGTAAAACTGGTGTTAAAATTCCAACAATTGGACTTGGATGTATGGTACGAAATTAAAGTCACATACTTTATTATACATGCGTGAATAACTAAATGGACTGTTTATTTCCTTTAATTAAGGGAATGAGTGAGTTTTACGGATCATCTGATGAAGCGGAAAATTTAAATGTCTTAAATCGTGCGATTGATTTAGGATGCGTCTTTTGGGATACTGCAGTAAGTATAATTTTTAATCGGTTACCTAGATACTTGCATTAAATAATTTTACTCTACGTGAATGAATATAATGAATATTCTTCATCTCCGTAAACTGGTATATAATGTAAAGTGAAATTTTTTAATGCATATACTAGATAATATAAAATACCCACAACACGTCATATGGTACTATGAATTTATTTTTTTTATTTTTTTTTTTTTTATAAAACCCCGAGATAGCATTTATCTGGGGACGTCAAATGACGCTATTTATTAAACTAAGAAATATATACAAATT